CTGATTTTTTTCATTTCAGCATGTAAGATGTTTTCCCCAGGTTATCTTTCTTTAAGACCTTTAAGTCATTTTTTCTTCATCATCGTCTTCTCATTTGCTACTTCCTTAGGACCATTATTTCGCCTCCTCTGCACTTGCAAAATAATAACTGGGTCTCATATAGAGGATGATGCTACTCTGTGTAAATGCAGCCGCTAAAGAATAGGAATCACTCAGAGCCACGAAAAGCAACATTAATGATAGAAACTGTGGACGACTGTAAACAAATTTATCCCTTCAGTTTTTCTCTTCCTCCTTTTCTTTATTTTTTTTGTTATTCAGGCCTGTGAGTTACAGCATCTGTCACCAAGAAAATATCTGTTCAAATCAATGTCTTCAGCTTGAACTAATAACCCCACCACCGTTACAGCACCAGGCCTGTCTCTGACAGAAGTGGGGGTGTCCACCCCATTCTGTCCTATATTGCCTCCAATGACTGGTGGTTCTGCAAGACTTTAACTTATGCAGCCAAGTCAAGTCATCTAGTATTGATGATTAGAAAGATTGTTACTGTTATTGATGATTAGAAAGATTGTTACTGAAATCCCTCTTCATCCTTTGGCATGGGCAGTTCTGTTTGGATTGCTGTTTGATTTGTTTTTTACTAATTCAGGGATACCTATGCTGTCAGGCCAAGATTCTGCTCTTACTGATGAAAGACAAAATACCCTAAAATGGAATACCTTATTAAAATATAACTATAATTCAACTAAAAGTTAAAACTTCCATGACAAAATAATAAACCCCTGAAAGCTAGTGTCAGGATGGAAAGCCTGATACATATGTGGTCATGAAGAACAAACCCACTTATTTTATAGCCCACCTAGAAATCCAGTTTGTATGTCTTTCTCAGAAATGAGACCTGGGAGATACAAGTAACAGATAACATTGTTCAGAAATGCTTGATGTATTAATGTTAAGCACATACTTGTATCCAGTGTGTTCTCCTGTTTCCATATTGCAGTACCTTGGTGAAATTGTTTTGTATGCTGAGATTTGCCACTACAGACAGCTTACAGAAAGTCAAAGTGAGACAGTCATTACAATGTCATATGGAAACACCATTGGTGTGCATCACATCAAACTCACAACATAGATTCAACAAGGTGGCCATGGTAATCGGCACACAGTTACTACATCTCATTAATGCAATAATAACAAAGCTTTGATTCAGAGTAAATACACATTATTAACATGTTGTATTAACACCACAGGAAAGATACTCTCATCCTCCTTAACATGATGGACACTAAACAGAGTTTTCTTAACTCTCTGCAGAGAGGACCAAGCCCATATGGAGTTACTGTGCTAGACAAAGTGGTGGAAGAAAAGCCAGTTCTAGCAATCCCAGGCCAGGTGCTCCAGCAACCTGCTGCCTTACACTATAACCCTGATGCCACCGCAGGGCTCGGAGATGAAAGCTGAGCCCCTAACCCCTAAACCCCCTGAAGAGGTTTGGGACTCTGCATCTCTAGGCAGGACCAGCTGCCCGAGCGTGCGGATGGGATGGGATGGCTGTAGCCCCTGGAAGCAGGGCGCGCACCCCTGGCTGCCCGGCGGCGCTGTTGAGGGCAAGGCAGGCAGGAGGAGAAGATGCTGGGGAGGAGAGAGGGAAGGATGCTCGTTCCGGGGACACCGCCGGGCCGACAGCTCCCCCGCCGCCCTTACCTGCGCCGTGCGCCTTTGTTCCTCCGGCTGCAGGGCCGGTAGCGTTCCGGCCGCCCGGCGGAGGCCATCCTCGTCCTCATCCTCCTGCCCCCGCGCCCCCTGGTTGTCCCGGAGGAGGCGGCGGGGCCCCGTCGCGGCGGGGCCCCGTCTAAGCCTCCGCAGGACGATGAGCGCGGCCGCCGCCGCCCCCAGCAGTACCGCGGGCCAGAGGAGGGCCGGCAGCCGGGCCGGCAGCCCCAGCTCCCCCGAGCCCAGAGCCAGCCGCACCGCCGGGCCCAGCATGGCTGACCCCGGGCCGCCCCTCCCCGGGCTGGGGACGGGAATGGATGCTGCGCTGCGCTCCGCCGCCGCGCAAGGAAAGTTGGTGCCGGAGCTGCGCTGGTCGCGGCGGGCGGCGGCGGAAGGAGGGGTACCGGGGGCGCGGACACGGCTGTGCTCACGGGAGTCTCGATGCGAAGGGTTTGGCCGTGAGGGCGGTTGCGCGGTGGCGAGGGGGTTGGTGGGGACGAAGCCCGGGGGGAGTGGAGGAGGGGGCGAGTGCTCGGGATGAATCTCTGCTATGGGCGAGTGAACGCGGAGAAGCAATCGCGAAGGCGATGCGGTTCAAAGCAGTGGAGCCTCAGGCATCAGCGTTCATTTGAGAGCAGGTCCCGAGGGTCGGGATGCACAGGGGTGGTCACGAGTGATGCGTTTTCGCAAAATTCACCAGTCTAGACAGAAGAGTTTTTAGGAATGCACATCTCAGGCGCCGTTACAAACGTGCCACCATCGCGCAGCACCCTTGTGATGATTCCAGGAACTGCCGATGTAATACAGTGTGTGATGCGTTCTCATCTAGCGCTGATCCTTGGAGAAATAACCGTTTATCACCGCTAGCAGAACGCTAGGCAGAGTGCCTCAAACCACAGACCTCTCGGCTTTGCTGGATGGAAAATTTCTCCACCCACCTGATGAATAAGTGCAGGTGATGCTCTCACGCAGCGTTTTTTCAAAGTCACAGAGCTTCTTGTAAAATGGCAAGTTGTATTTCATCTTGGCTAATCTGGAGAGGCGGCCTCTGAGAAATAAGCAGTGAAAGGAAGGAAGGAGCCCCTCTTGCAGAAATGTGTGGTCATGGCTCACACCTGGCACAAACTCAGGTGTGAGCAGAGCATTACTACAAAGATAATAACTAAAGCTTATTTAAGCACAACAGCATAAAATGGATAAAACTATGCACAAAAAACATAAACCTACATGTTTGTAGTAAACCCAGTGCAAAGAAGGAGTTGGTAAGGAAATGGCCTTTATCTGTCTTGGCTTTATTTCACACCCAGCGGGGACCACTCTTCTCCCAAGCACAGATCCAGACACTGGAGCTCAAATCCAAACACACTGTCCTTCCACTGGATTACCACCTCTTCAGGGATGAAAGATTCCTGGGCCTAATTCCAATTCATTCTGAACAAGTCTAGCTTTTGAAAACACAATAAGGTGTCATAGCACTTGAGAAATTTCCAGACAAAATACAGGAGGATTGTTAATAAAATGATGTGCTGATTGGCTTTATGGGGAGAAGAAGGTTTTGTGGAGAGAGTGAAAAGTCTTTAATAATCAGAAGAGGGCCATGGGGGTACGATGGTACTTTGAATGCTGTTGTTGGGATGATAAGCTTCTTTTTAAACATGGATCCCACAAATTATCCGTTTTCTGTCTATCTCATCCTGCCTGTCTTCTAAAGTTCAGCACTGACTAATCCTGTGCTCTGAAACCTCAGGATTTTCAGTGTTTCTGTGCCTAGCTCTGATACTGATTCCTTATGAGAATATGTCTGTCTTACTTACCTGGAGCCGTAAGATGGTACCTGGGTAGTTATGTGCAAATATCAGAGATTGGGGCCTTCCTCTGAAGTTAAAAAATGGCAGTTATGTGATTAGTTTTATGTCGATTTGATAGTTGCTTTTTCCCTGTCTTGATTTTTCGGCTCATAAAATACAGATACATCTCCGAGCTGTTAAAAAGCAAGCAATCTATACCTTGGATCATAAATAAATATCACTATTTTCAGCTCATCAAAATTAGTTTGCTTTTCTTTTTCCCCAGGAAACATAAGCCGAAAGACATTTCAGGAGACAGTGTTGCTTAACTGACTATGAGATCACTGCTTCACACCATTCCTTTCTATTTCTTTTTATTTTCCTCCACAAAATAAAGGCAGTTACTGTGGCTGGCCTCTAATGGCATTTATTTTTGAAGAAAACCATCACCATATTAGACCTTTTTCTAGTATTAATACAGGCTTATTTAACAACATACCCCTTACATACCCCTTACAGCATTGGTCTATGAAAATAGCACAGATTCTCATGATGATGCTATATGGAAAACCTGAAATTTTACTGCAAGCTTGAGAAGATATTTTTCTGTTTATGTGTGACACAAACTTACTGCAGATGTCTGATGGGAGTTGTTCTCCATTCAGATTCGGGAAGAAAGTCCAATAACCAGGAATTGGAATCATCTATTTGTTATAGATCAAGATCCAGTCTTATTAATGTTTAAATGTTTCATGAAAACAGTTTGATTTTGACAATTGTGATTTTTTTAAAAAGAGGCAAAAGTCTCATTTTGGGTTGTTTCATGATAGAAACAGACCAGAGTTTTCTAGCTGAAATTAAAACATAAACTTTTTTTTTTAATTGAATTGTGAAAAATTGAAGTTTTCTGAAAAAGAAAGTAGGCAACAAAATAATTGTTTTAATAGCATTACCCAGAAATTATAAGTTCTTGACCTGATGTATTAGCAGTATACTTAAGGATTCACCTGTGGAAGCTAAGAGAAGTACCTTACACCAACACTGCTCGTGTTTAATCAGCAGCAACGGATATGATAGAAAAAACAAGTGATTTCGAACAAGTCAGAGATGTAAAGAGGAAGCTTTTAAACTGCCTCAGCAAAAGCATGTTTGAGGGGCAGCGAGAAGACCTCTTGGCAGTATTTAATACTCCTTAATCATCTTTCCTCAACTGAAGTTCAGAATACTGTAGCTGAAACAAGGTTTTGTTTCTATCAGCTGCTCAGACAGCTTCAAGTAAGGGGAGAGAATGAGCTGTGTTTTCCCTGCTAGGAAAAATTGGCACTTACCGTGTTATTCAGAACACACCCTGCTCCTAACATTACAAGGCTGTGTCCTCCCCTCTCTGAGACTATGGGAATTTTGGGTAAGTACACAGAAAATAGTGGGGGTTTGCATTGGTTTAAGCAACATAGAGCAGCTCTTCTTTCTTTAGCTGGTTTCTGAGTTCTCTGTTGGAGCTGTTTCTGGTGAGCACTGTGCAGATGCAGGCGAGAGGATGTTTGATGGGGCAGAGACGAAAGCACAGGTCTCCATTTCAGGCATTCATGGCTAATGAAATGCAGAGCCAGGACATGTTCCCCAGGCACTGAGTCTTGACACAAGGCCCTGCTTCTGGCTGCGACCCTCTTGCTCAGCTGTAATGAAGCCAATTTACAGACTGAGGTGATCTTGCAACCTGTGGCTTGGTTACTTATAGGCTTGAAGGGACATTTGCTCCAAATCCCAATGTTCATCTGCTGATGTACAGGAGATGTATTAATAATGTATTTGTGTAATTCACAAACCTTTCCCATTTTCCCTCCTGTCTGAGGCCCTTGTGCACTAGCTACTTCCCGTGAACACATGTGAAGCTGATAAACTTCCAATCTTGCTTTGCCTATTGTTGAGGAAACTGAGAAGCATGATAGCTGCATGCCTGGCAAAGCATGACAGTAACCAGTAATGAGAGACGAGTGTTTCATTTGTTAGGCTATTGGGCTCATTGCACGGCTGCCCACGTGGCCAGGTATTTGCCATTAAACAAGATGATTAATTCCTTGACAAGTTGATGTCTGGCCTGGCAGTCCGGCATTTCCTTTCGGCATTTGTGGCTGATTTGAGGAATGCAGCTTTATAGATTTTTACTAATTATCTAATAGCTTTTCAATCTCTTGTTTCAGTACATGGAACTGGTGTTAATGAACTGCAGATCTTCAGCATACCATTCTTAACTGATTCCCCTAGTAAGTATGTTTAACACTTGCCTTGGTTTCCTGTACATGATTCATTTGGCTAGTAAGTGATCCATCTTTGTTTGCTGTCAAAGTCTTTGAGTTGGAAAAGGACTTTAATCATGTTACTTGGCTTTTCTGAACAGGGAGAAGAAATGGAGTCAAATAAGCACGCAATGGTAATGCAGTCAAATAAGAACCATGGCCTGAGTTTCTTTCACTAATAAAAAGTTGCGGAAGCTTCAATTTCCCTTTCATTTTCCTAAAGAACATACTGGAAACATCTATTCAGCCAAAGATGTGAAATTAAAACAAAGAAACAAAAACATCTGAAAAGGAGGAAAGAAGGCACTTTCCCAGCTTATGCGTTAAGACCAGTCAAAGAAAACTGCTTCAAAAGGAAGGAGGAAGCCAGCCCTAAGCAGGGCTGCAACTGCTTTTAATTGGCTGTAGCAATGACACGCATGGTAGACAAAGCCATAGAAGGCACGAGTGCAACAATGTCGGTTCAGTGGGTACAGTGAAAAAGTTGGAGGCAAAACTGAAGTTACTGAATAATAAAGTTGTTTCACTAGCAGATTTGTCAGCAACAGCATGGGACAAAGGAACTTGTTTAGCAGAACACGATCATCTTGAGAACTGTAAACACTACTGGTTTAAAGATAAAATCAAAGGCCTTGAGAGCAAAGCAGAAGCAGACATAAAAATATGCATAGTTGGCTTTCCTGAAGGAGAAGAATTTTGCATCCCTGACAAACTATTCAGAAACAAGCTGTTAAGTGCCCCAGGTCACTCTTGCACCCTTAGCATCCACCTCCCCTGGGCAGAGCTGCATGAATATACAGCAGCACTGGTAGGTTTTCTGCACATGCCACTGGCAGTGGAGATCTGCGAATCTGGCAGGAGAGTTTATTCCCTTCCCCTCTACAAAAAAGCTGAGTGCAATTACGACACACTATTATAAATATTCAATAAATCAAAAAATGGAGTTGTCTCTCAGTAGAAGACAGGACTGTTACTATGTTCCTTACATGCATATTTGCTCTCAGTGTTGTTCAGCCTGTGTCTCTGATTCGTCTGTCTGTGAAAATAGCTGGTGATTCTCTATTTCTTTTGACAGGCAATTCAAGTTCGTCCTTTAAAAACTTTCTAGGTCTCTTCATCAGAGACTGGCAGCACGTGTGCATTTTTTGAAGATAATGATGACTACAGGGAAGTCTCCTAAAATGAACATAAGTGTCTGTTCTTGCTTTATTCCAGACTGACACACAACACAGTGAACACAGACTAGATTAGTGATGACACACTGTTTATTGCTATCAAAAACAACATTCAGAGAGATGCAGCTGACACACAGGAGGGAAGTGATCGTTACCCTCAGGGAGGCGTTACTGTCAAAAATGTGTAAGTATCCGTAAGTGTGGCTTATGCTACAATGTTCAGACAATATCATATTCTCATGTGATCTAGGTTTCAAAGGCCACAGAGTTTTCCCTATGTATGCTCACACAACTCTGTGCCTGAAGACAATCTTTCACTTTGATCTGGAGACAGGAAGGTCTGAAAAATGTACCACATCCACCACATAATTCATGGTTTCTTCTCATGCTTAGCCATCCTCCACATGAAAAAAATGTATCTTGTTGCTAAATTAATGTCATCTCTTTTTCAGCTTCCCACCACTGATTTTGGTGATTTTCTCTGACAGAGATATCCTTCTCGTAGCTGCTGTGTTCTTCCTGAGAAGGTGCTTCAAGGTCACAAGCACATTACCTTTTAAACTCCCTTCTGATAAACAAAAGATATTAAATCTCTTTACAATGCTCACCAAAAAACATTTCCACCAGGTCTCAAGCTATTTTTGGAGGTTTTCCTTTTGCACACCCACCTGACATCATTTTTTCTATGTGGTCATATAGAGAGGTGATATTCAGCCTCTTTAACCTAATTACTTGGTCTTAGCATATGCATTGTGGGATCATTTTAGCTCTCTTTTATGCACCAACATATTAGGGGCTCCAGCAGAGCTGCCTGCTTCTTTGTCCTGTTTCCTAGCCAGTTTATTAATTTTAATTCAAAAACATTTATTGGATTACTATGAGTAATTACTAGAGTAAATGACAGGACTTGTTGGTTGCCAGAAGGTGACTGCTCTGTACTTAGTTCCTTCCTATGCAAAGAAGAAATAATGTTTCTACAGCACTTAGTCTGTCTTGCCAGCACAGACTAATCTCATCACAATGTTGGGAAGAAGTTTAATCTTTTTTTGTGATTAACAGGGAATCTGGAGCACTTACAGATAGATCTTTTTTGAGAATACTGAAGAGAGTTGTGGTTGTTGCAGAGGCTGATAGCCTTGGTCGGTATGCCATCAGCAGACAAAAGCCTGATGCATTAGTGTTGCTTTCAGATGGTTTGTCCCATCACATATTTGCAGCAGATATGGTCAGTGGATTAAATTTTGTTTCTGCACTGTTTGCAGTACCACTTCCTGTAATGAAGTGGTAAATAATAAATGCATTTGATTTCTTATATTCCTGGCATATCTCCTGTGAATAAAAGTAGCTCTATTTACACTAGAGCTCTCTAGTAGCTCTATTATACAGAGGCTCTATTTACATGGTGCTCTGCAGGTATATGCTTATTTGTTCTACCCACAGTACACAGGCTGCTCAGACCTGATCTGTGTTCAGTGTTTTCATGTTGGAGGCAGAGAAATTATGAGTCTGGCTTTAAAAGACCATGGGGAGTTCCCAGAGCTGGCCCATCACTAAAGCTCATGATCCTGAGGGATGGCCAGAAGAGCTGAGGCAAGTCATCTCATCATGGGGAGTCAGACTTGAGGCTTATGGGGCATCTGCCTCCCAGATGTAACCTGGTTGTAGATGATTTATTGCTTTGCTTTCTCTTCCTATAATTCCAGGTCTCCTTACATGTGAAGGAGATTATCCTTCTTGGGCATTGCCCGTATACTGTGGGTAGATAAACAGGTTTGTTTAATTGAAGACTCTGATCTGTAGGCAGCCAGATTGGAGGCCTGGAGTCATCATGAAGAAGCTTCCAGATCTAGCTTTGCAGAATAAATTTCTATTAATGACCAAGCAGTTTTCAAACTGCTGTTTTGTCCAGATCCCAGGCTTGTGTTCCTGAGTTGTGCCCCAAGGATCCAGCCAGAGTCAGAGCAACCCACAGGATTTGTTGAAGCTGCTGCTCTTCTGCTCACCCTGCCTCACAGAAACACAGCCTTTTCAGATAAATCCAACATTTCTTGTCTGCTTCTATAACTCAAGGAGCCACAATTTCACCTTAAGGCATATGACAATGCAAGCAATGACAGCAATAGTTTCCTATTTTATAATTGCCATGGCAATTATATTGTAACTTAGACCTGCAATTTCATTTATGGTTGTCTCTCTTAAAACATGATGTAATTTAGCATTCAAAGCCATCCCACCACCCCGTTCTCACAGCACCCTGCCAGCCACCCCATATAGCATTTTGTTGAAGCAGTGCTATTGGTGACTCCTGCGCAGAGGAGTTCTTCCACATTTCAAATAATGCAGCATTTCAGAAGCCAAGGCTATGATTTGCAGGTGCTTTTCAGAATGGAGTCTCTTGTAATTTTCCAAGCCTCTGTAGGAGTGCGTGTTTAAGCCAAGCTCAAGTCCTTTAGCTGTTCCCTACACCCCAGCTTCCTTTCACATCACATTTTATTAAATTTAGGGTCTTCAGTTTAAATTCCCTGTCTAAAGCATCTCCAGAGATGAGATGGCTCTTTTCCCAGCTGTCAGTAACTGTGCTGCCTACAGCTTACTGTGGTCTTTAGATACCATGCAAAACATGCAGTTTGATGCATGTAAAACAGGAAAACAAAATCTGCTTACCCAGCATGGATCAGAGGCAGTCCTATTTTTAATTCCCTAGCTTGGGAATTACTCACTTTTTATTCACTGGGTTGGGAATGAGGGTAGCAAAGTGTCTCAGGAGGAGGAAATACAGTCTGGAAATGGTAGGCAGCCACAACAGGGCAGGGCAAACTTTTTGCCTGAGGTGTGCTGCTGCTGGGCAGAGCCACAGTGACCTCAGGACAGGCAGAAGAGGGGCACGCAGCTCTGTGCCCCAGTCCACCCACCACAGAGATATTGCAGTGACGGCTGGACACTGAAGCCTCTCTTAGCAGGAGCTTGCTTCCCATCAGAGCTTGCTCTTGCTGAAGTCCTTGTGGTCAAAACGTCACAGCCAATTCTGCCTCCTGCTTTCAGCCCTTCTGTTTCATCTGTAGTCCCACTGCTGACCTGAGGTGCCCTCTGAACCCTCCTGAAGTCAGGGAAAAGGGAAGGTTTTCAGCATCACATAACCTCTTAACAGCTCTCCCCTAATTAGCCTCAGGTTATGGGCAGCATGAGGGAGGGCAGCTCCTGTTGAAAAAGGGTTGGAGTAGATGGCATGTCCTGTGGGAAAAGCTCAAATGCTGGAAGGAAGTGCTGGCCATCATTATGTCAAGAGTGTCTGCTGACACTTCATTGTGTTTCTGTCTGAAAATGAATTATTTGCTGTTACAGGCAAGTTCTAAGATGAAAAAATCATGGCAGTCAGGTGAAGTTCCTGAAGACTGGAAAAAGGGAAATACAACCCCCATTTTCAAGAAGGGGAAAATGGATGACCCAAGGAACTACAGACCAGTCAGTCTCACCTCTGTGCCTGGCAAAATCTTGGAGCAGATTCTCCTGGAAGGCATGACAAACAACAAGGTGCTTGGTGACAGCCAGCATAGCTTCACTAAGGGGAAATCCTGCCTGACCAATTTGGTGGCTTTCTATGATGGGGCAACAAAACTAATGGACAAGGGTAGAGCAATTGACGTCATCTACCTGGACTTGTGCGAAGCGTCCAACACTGTCCCATATGACATCCTTGTCTCTAAATTGGAGAGACATCAATTTGATGGATGGACCACTTGGTGGATAAAGAACTGGGTGGATGGCTGCATGTAAATAGCTGTGGTCAATGGCTCAATGACCAGCTGGAGACCAGTAACGAGTGGTGTCCCTCAGGGATCAGTGTTGGGTCCGGTCCTGGCCAACATCTTTGTCGCTGACATGGACAGGGGGATTGAGTGCGCCCTCAGCAAGTTTGCCAATGACACCAAGCTGTGTGTTTCGGTTGATACGCTGGAGGGAAGGAATGCCATCCAGAGGGACCTTGACACACTTGTGAGGTGGGCTGATGCCAATGTCATGGATTTT